TAGAATTCAAGATGGTCCCAGCCCAGGAGGGGCCTGGCCAGGACCCTTGATTTATAGATGTTTAAAAAACGGACCTCCGAAATTTGGAATTTTTAGAATTTTTAGAATTCTAGATGGTCCCAGCCCAGGAGGGGCCTGGCCAGGACCCTTGATTTTTAGAATTTTTAGAATTTTTAGAATTTTTAGAATTTTTAGAATTTTTAGAATTTTGAGAATTGAATTCTAAAAATTCTAAAAATTCTAAAAATCGGACCCCCGAAAATTTAGAATTTTTAGAATTTTTAGAATTCAATTCTAAAAATTCTAAAAATTCTAAAATCGGACCTCCGAAATTTAGATTTTTCAGAATTTTTAGAATTCTAGATGGTCCCAGCCCAGGAGGGGCCAGGCCAGGACCCTTGATTTTTATAATTTTGAGATTTTTGAAGATTGAATTCTAAAAATTCTAAAAATTCTAAATTTCGGGGGTCCGATTTTTAGAATTTTTAGAATTCAATTCTAAAAATTCTAAAAATTCTAAAAATCAAGGGTCCTGGCCTGGCCCCTCCTGGGCTGGGACCATTTAGAATTCTAAAAATTCTAAAAATTCTAAATTTCGGAGGTCCGTTTCTTAGAATTTTTAGAATTTTTAGAATTGAATTCCAAAAATTCTAAAAATTCTAAATTTCGGGGGTCAGATTTTAGATTTTTTAGAATTTTTAGAATTCAGTTCTAAAAATTCTAAAAAATCTAAAAATCAAGGGTCCTGGCCTGGCCCCTCCTGGGCTGGGACCATCTAGAATTCTAAAAATTCTAAAAAATCTAAATTTCGGAGGTCCGTTTTTAGAATTTTTAGAATTTTTAGAATTGAATTCTAAAAATTCTAAAAATTCTAAATTTCGGGGGTCCGATTTTTAGAATTTTTAGAATTCAATTCTAAAAATTCTAAAAATTCTAAAAATTCTATAAATTCTAAAAATTCTTAAAAATCAAGGGTCCTGGCCTGGCCCCTCCTGGGCTGGGACCATCTAGAATTCTAAAAATTCTAAAATTCTATATTTCGGAGGTCCGATTTTTTGAATTTTTAGAATTCAATTCTAAAAATTCTCAAAAATCTAAAACTCAAGGGTCCTGGCCAGGCCCTCCTGGGCTGGGACCGTCTAGTCCTCTAGAATCGTTCGATTTTTTAGACATCAATTCTCGGTCCTGGCTGGGCTTTTCCCGGGCTGGGACCATCTAGAATTCTACTAATTCTAAAATCGGACCCCTGAAAACTAGCATGGCTAGAAACCAATTCTAAAAATTCTAAAAATCGACAAATTGAGACTTGGTTATCAAAAGGCAACATGCAGCGTTCATATTATACATAATGTTCCCTCGCACGCCCCCGCCCCCCCCCCCCCCCCGCCCCCCCTCAACAAGTAAGCTCAGGTGATATCCGCAAAAGCATGCGCTGCTCCTTTTAGTGCTCGCACCACCCCGCAGCCCTCGCAACACCTCGCGGAACCCTCGTGGAACCCTGGTGGAACCCTCGTGGAACCCTGGTGGAACCCTCGTGGAAATCTCGTGGAACCTTACCTCACAGCCGCCCCGGACACACCCCGGAGCCTATCTGGGCCGTGACCCCAAAGCTTTCAGCTGTTGGGGAAAAACCTAGAAAACTGGGGCCTCCTTTGTTTCATATTCTTAGCTTTTTAGATCCTTTTAGCGTTTATTTAGTGGTAGTTTCCATTTGGCCCACTAAAAGTTAGTCACTTTTAGCAGGGGATCTGAAAACGGGCAGCCCAGGTGCGAATAATGCAGCTCCTCACACCCCTGCTTTCCTTTTACTTTCCCTTTAAGCCAACCTGAAAAGGGTACCGCGACGAACAACATTTTTAGCATTTGGAACGTGACTTAACACGACCTTGTGGCCTCCATTTAGAACTTCCCCTGCACTTGCTGGGGAAACAACGACTTCCATTTGCCGTTTCAGAGTATTTAGCCGCCGTTGGCGTGTTCCGCCGGCCACCCGGCTGAAGCAGGGGGCTCCGCGGGTTTGCCGAGGGAGATGCCCTTGCGCAACCACTAAAGAGACACTATAGCCTCTGACAGGAAAGAGAAAGCAAGACAGAGAAGATATAGAGAAGGGCCGGGAGGACCGAGAGTAACCCGTCGCAGTGGACAACGCGCGGAAGATGCCAAGGCGCGGAGGGCCACCCGTGGCTATGTGGCCAAGGCAGAACTGCCTGTCGCCAGGCCCATGATGGCATGAGCTGAGGTTCCTCCCTGGCGCGTACGCCGAGGCAACTGCAGCACAGCTCCCTGGGGCGTACGCCTCGGGGAGCTCAATGCAGCAGAACTCCAGAAGATGGCTGCCCGAGGAAGGCAAAGGCAAGAAACCAGGTGCTTGGAAATCAGAGAAGTAACCGCAGAAATGAAATGTTTGTTGGCAACCTGAGGATGCTGGTGGAGCTGGACATGGCTCCGTGCCTCAGCCGTGCCACACACGGGAGTGACAGTCGCCGCCAGAATTCCTTCGAATGAGACACCAATAGCATCATCTGTGTGAAATTGAAGGTCAGACATGGGCAAGTTGCTCGGGCTGCAGCTGCAAGGGAGTGCTGAGACCGGACCAAGGCCAAAGTGAGACCGGCTGGCTGCGGGGTGTACAAGACAGGAAAAGAAGCGTGAGAGCCACACGTTGCATCCAGCCACGCCGCAAGAGCATAGTAAAATGAAGGAGGGTGTTTTGAAGGTTAGATCTTCTCCGCTCTCCGAGCTATCTGCCTCGGCCACAGCGCCAGACAGACGCCGCAAGCTGCGAGCAGTGGGAAAGGCGCAGCAACAACAGCACGAACAAAGACATCCAGAACGCAGGAGCAGCGAGGGTAGGTTCAATGTCCGCTCTCCGCGGGTTTGCCGAGGGAGATGCCCTTGCGCAACCACTAAAGAGACACTACAGCCTCTGACAGGAAAGAGAAAGCAAGACAGAGAAGATATAGAGAAGGGCCGGGAGGACCGAGAGTAACCCGTCGCAGTGGACAACGCGCGGAAGAGGCCAAGGCGCGGAGGGCCACCCGTGGCTATGTGGCCAAGGCAGAACTGCCTGTCGCCAGGCCCATGATGGCATGAGCTGAGGTTCCTCCCTGGCGCGTACGCCTCGGGGAGGCAACTGCAGCACAGCTCCCTGGGGCGTACGCCACGGGGAGCTCAACGCAGCAGAACTCCAGAAGATGGTCGCCGAGCGGTTAGAAAAAAGGGCTGCCCGAGGAAGGCAAAGGCAAGAAGCTAGGTGCTTGGAAATCAGAGAAGTAACCGCAGAAATGAAATGTTTGTTGGCAACCTGAGGATGCTGGTGGAGCTGGACGTGGCTCCGGGCCTCAGCCGTGCCACACACGGGAGTGACAGTCGCCACCAGAATTCCTTCGAATGAGACACCAATAGCATCATCTGTGTGAAATGGAAGGTCAGACATGGGCAAGTTGCTCGGGCTGCAGCTGCAAGGGAGTGCTGAGACCGGACCAAGGCCAAAGTGAGACCGGCTGGCTGCGGGGTGTACAAGACAGGAAAAGAAGCGTGAGAGCCACACGGCATCCAGCCACGCCGCAAGAGCATAGTAAAATGAAGGAGGGTGTTTTGAAGGTTAGATCTTCTCCGCTCTCCGAGCTATCTGCCTCGGCCACAGCGCCAGACAGACGCCGCAAGCTGCGAGCAGTGGGAAAGGCGCAGCAACAACAGCACGAACAAAGACATCCAGAACGCAGGAGCAGCGAGGGTAGGTTCAATGTCCGCTCTCCGCGGGTTTGCCGAGGGAGATGCCCTCGCGCAACCACTAAAGAGACACTATAGCCTCTGACAGGAAAGAGAAAGCAAGACAGAGAAGATATGGAGAAGGGCCGGGAGGACCGACAGTAACCCGTCGCAGTGGACAACGGCAACGACAGCGCGGACAACAACAGCCAGAACCCTTGAGCAGCGAGGGCACGGCCAATGTCCGCTCTCCGCGGGTTTGCCGAGGGAGCGGCCTTTGCGCACAAAAGAGAGACGATAGATGCAGATGGGAAAAAGAAAGCAAGACACAGAAGATATGGAGGGGAGGGGGGGGGGGTAGCAAAAATCCGTCGCAAGGGAAAGTCTAAGCAACAACAGAAACAAGAACAACAACATCCACAAGACACGCCGGCAGGCCGGCGGATTTGCTTTCTCTTGTTGGTTAGTGACGGGAAATGTTCACTACTGAACATACCCCTTACACCCAATACCCACTTCTTTTTAGGGTATCATGTCGACCCTCTACTAAAAAAGGAGGTATTTACCTTGAAAAACAAGGTTTTCAAAAAAAAATCCCTAGAAAAAGTGGGTATTTGGAGTAGGGGGTAGTTGTATGTTCCGTGCGAAAAAGACGAGCTTCTAGCTCGAAGATGGGCAAAAGTTCGGACCTGTATCCTACCCCTTCAATCCGAGAAGGTTCCGTGATATTTTTTAGAGGAGGTTGGGAGTACCTTCGCCCCGATTTGTTTCCAATATTTTTTACATCTCAAGGTTCATCAAATATGGGTGTGGCTCAAAATTAAAGAGCTGGGGTTACGCGGGTTTCAGTCTGTGGCATCGATGAAGAGACAAAAAGTATGGCTGTGGCGAATTCAAAAAACCGGAATTCCAAAATGGGTTGCCCGATCGGTAAGTGGAAACCTGGACCAAAACCCGAGGTTTGCCCCTCCTCTTTAATTTTAAGCCACAGCCATATGTTTTACATCGCAAGGTTCATCAAATATGGATGCCGGAGTCAAAGATGTTGAAAGAGACGTTGGCCGGCCTCAAAACACCAAAGCACGAGCCCACCCAGGGAGTCCAAAGGCCTGAGTTACGGAGGCCGTTTAAACACGGAGGTTTTTTACGGCCTTTTTACGGGGTGTCTACGGCCGTTGACAAAAGGCCTAAGTTACTCAGGCCGAGGAAGCTCTGGGCCAACGTGCCAAACACCAAAACACAGCCCCAACAAGCCCTTCACGGGATGCAGAATCCTCAAGCCTTGGCAGGTGGATGCGCTGAACGCCGAGCGCGAACAGCTCCGTCCGGAGCCCAGAAACGGGAAGATCCGTCGCCCGAGAGTTGCAATGTCTGACTCCACTCGCCTGTATATTATATATACCCTCCAAATACCCGGCCTCTTTTTTCAAAATATGTTTTGCATAACCGATCGGTTTTCCACAGTAAATACCTCCTTTTTTAGTAGAGGGTCCACATGATACCCTAAAAAACTGGGTATTTGGAGTAGGGGGTATATACATATATATATATATAGATATATTTATTGTCCTCCAGAGAGCTGAAAGCTACAGGGCTTCTAACTTCGAACAAAGTTGGGAGAGTAATTTCGGAGATTGGTTGGTTGGTTTATTTTTGTCTGGTTTTCCATCTTTCCTTGCCAAGCGGCAACAGTTGGCTAAGGGGGTCGGGGGTGTAAGTCTGGGTTGGCGAAAAGATTGCCCAAGTTCGCTTGACCCAAATTAGAACAAGGGAAAGCCAGAAGGGGCCTATATGTCCCTTGCTGGTGGTCTTAAAAATGACCTTTTTGGCCCATGAAAGGTGAGTGTTTGGTGGGGTTTGGTGGGGGTGATTCTAGGGGTTGATTCCCCATTATTTTCAGCCATCGTTCTTTTCAAAACCGATCGCCATTTCCCCTGTTTTTTTGTGGTGTTCTAGAAAGATTCGGATCCCTGGAAAGAATGGGGAAGTTACCCCCTACTCCAAATACCAACTTTTTCTATGATATTTTTTAGAAAACCGATCGGTTTTCCATGGCAAATACCTCCTTTCTTAGTAGAGGGTTTACATGATACCAACTAAAAAAGGCCGGATATTGGGTGGTGAATCGGGGTAGAGGGATGGGAGCCCGAAGAACAAGCAGGGATTGAACTCACCGGTGCCTTGGGGTCGGCTCGTGCATACCCCCTACTCCAAATACCCGATGCCTTTTTTTAGTTGGTATGATTTGTCGACCCTCTACGAAAAAAGGAGGTATTTACCTTGGAAAACCGATCGGTTTTCCCAAAATACCGTAAAACAAGTGGGTATTTGGAGTAGGGGGTAGCCAGGTGGTTCCCTTGCTTCTTGGATAGCTGGGACCTTAAGGGGACGTCCAATCGGGACCCTGTTTTGTGTCGGCTCGTGCTTGGCCACTTGAATACACAGAACCGTCCTGCGCCATGAAGGTGAATATTCACTTGCCCAGCCGACACGGGGACGTGGTGCTTGCGGTTGTGCATCTTGGCCATCTGGCTGCAACCGAAAAGGCGTTTGCTTGGCATGACCACGGGGGCGAGGTTGTGACGTGGGGTGGACCAGGACATGGCGGAGACAGCAGCCAGGTGAAAGAGCAGCCGAGGAACGTCCAGCACATCCAAGCAACTGGCGGTGCTTTTGCTGCCATTCTTGAATCTGGGTCTGTTGTGACATGGGGTCATCCAGAAACTGGCGGAGACAGCAGCCAGGTGCGAGAGCAGCTGAGGAACGTCCAGCACATCCAAGCAACTGGCGGTGCCTTTGCTGCCATTCTTGAATCTGGGTCTGTTGTGACCTGGGGGGATCCACAACGTGGCGGAGACAGCAGCCAGGTCCTCAGGTGCGAGAGCAGCTGAGGAACGTCCAGCACATCCAAGCAACTGGCGGTGCCTTTGCTGCCATTCTTGATTCTGGGGCTGTTGTGACGTGGGGTGATCCACGCCTTGGCGCAGACAGCAGCCAGGTGCAGGAGCAGCTGAGGAACGTCCAGCACATCCAAGCAACTGCATGTGGTGCCTTTGCTGCCATTCTTGATTCTGGGGCTGTTGCGACCTGGGGGGATCCACAACGTGGCGGAGACAGCAGCCAAGTGCAGAGCAGCTGCGGAAGGTTCAGTGCATCCAAGCAACAGGCACTGCCTTTGCAGCCATTCTTGAATCTGGTGCTGTTGTGACCGGGGGATATCCAGGCTTAGGCGGAGACAGCAGCCAGGTGCAGGAGCAGCTGAGGAACGTCCAGCACATCCAAGCAACTGCATATGGTTCCTTTGCTGCCATTCTTGAATTTGGGTCTGTTGTGACCTGGGGTCATCCAGAAACTGGCGGAGACAGCAGCCAAGTGCAAGAGCAGCTGAGGAAGGTTCAGTGCATCCAAGCAACTGGCGGTGCGTTTGCTGCCATTCTTGAATCTGGGGCTGTTGTGACCTGGGGTCATCCAGAAATTGGCGGAGACAGCAGCCAGGTGCGAGAGCAGCTGAGGAACGTCCAGCACATCCAAGCAACTGGCGGTGCCTTTGCTGCCATTCTTGAATCTGGGGCTGTTGTGACCTGGGGTCATCCAGAAATTGGCGGAGGGAGGACAGCCGCCAGGTGCGAGTAGAGCAGCTGATCATGGACTCTCCATCCAAGCAACAGGGCGGTAAGCCCACTCTCCAGCACCCGCTGCCTGTTGTGACCTGGGTCATCCAGAAAAATTGGCTGGAGGACAGCAGCCAGGTGCCGAGAGCAAGATGTAGGAACGTCCAGCACATCCAAGCAACTGGCGGTGCCTTTGCTGCCATTCTTGAATCTGGGTCTGTTGTGACCTGGGGGGATCCACAACGTGGCGGAGACAGCAGCCAGGTGCGAGAGCAGCTGAGGAACGTCCAGCACATCCAAGCAACTGGCGGTGCCTTTGCTGCCATTCTTGATTCTGGGGCTGTTGTGACCTGGGGTCATCCAGAAATTGGCGGAGACAGCAGCCAGGTGCGAGAGCAGCTGAGGAACGTGCATCACGTCCAAGCAACTGCGGAAGGTGCCTTTGCTGCCATTCTTGAATCTGGGGCTGTTGTGACCTGGGGTGATCCTCACCTTGTCGGAGACAGCAGACAGGTGCGAGAGCAGCAGAGAAACGTAATCCACAGCAGCCAGTTGCAGGAGCAGCTGATTCTGGGGGCTGTTGTGACCTGCGGTGATCCGCGCTTTGCTTCGATTTGTTGAATCTGGGGCTGTTGTGAACTGGGGTGCTCAACCCTTCGGCGGAGACAGCAGTCAGGTGCGAACCAGGCAAAAGATCTGATTTTTTTGCAGGGGTCCTAATTCCAGCCTAGGTTTGTTGTTTTTAGTTGGTGAAAGGTGGTGTCCGAATTTCGCCCACAGGCTTTCAACTTTTAGGAGATCCCATTGAGGTATCTCTGAGACCATCTGAGCAACTGACTCTTTTGCAGAAAACATGCTTGGGTGCTCGATTTGCCAAGTTAGTATGTGGGTTCGCGACCTGCGTGAAGAGAAGCACTAATGACACGCCCTACTCCAAATACCCTCTTTTTCTAGGGTGTGATGTCGACCCTCTGCTAAAAAAGGAGGTATTTGCCATGGAAACCCTAAAAAAAGTGGGTATTGGGAGTAGGGGCAATGGTTAATTAAGCCCACTTACGAGGAGCTGTAAGTGGGCTACCCAGGAAAGCCAGCCGAACCGTGGGGACCCAAATTTCCCAGACACCAGGGGTCTGTCCGAGAGGCGGTTTGCCCCATTTGTTCCAAGAACAAAAGAAGTTAGTCCAAGGCTCGGATGAATCATTGTATAGTGCCCTCTAAGCGAAAATCCTTTAATTTTAAAGGGTCAACTGGAAAAAAACGGTATTTCCTGGAAAAACCCGGATATTGTGCCATACCTTTAAAATAAACGGATATTTGCTTAGAGGGTGCTCTTAAAAATGGGCGTGCCACCTTTTGAGGGTACCCCGGGTTTCGTGGGTTTTACAGGAAGCCGCTCCTTTTCGGGGGGCCAAACTTAAAACACACACACAAAATGAAAGTGCGAGGGCCGCCGTATTGAATAAGTCTTTACTTGGTGGTTCCCAGCCATCCCCTTAGCTTTTTAGCTTTTTAGTGTTTAGTGGGGATTTCCATTAGGGGAGGGTTCCCCTACTAAAATAGACTACCGAAAATATGAAAAGAAGAACAAAAAAACGGGTACCCTTATTCCAACCTCTCGACTGGAGGACCTAGCTCGTGTGTCCCCACTCTTTGCAACCGTGGATTTCGTCCACGTTCTTCGACGTGTGGACTTTTTTTCTGGAAAGGGCACTCCCTGGAAAGAGCAAGTTACCCCCACGCATACCTTGTTCATCCATTTGCTCAACAACATTTGTGTTTTTTTTCCCTTGCTGGTTTAAAAAGGAATCTATCACTACTGTTTGTTAATTATATACATATACATACATATACATATACATATACCATGTGATGGGCTTGTGAAGCAAGACGGCGTGTGGACCTGTTTCTTTCCGGATTTCCGGGGCTCCCTCCCCTTTCCCGGGGCCGAAAATTTGAGTCGCGCTCCTCTTGGGTAAATTGTTGCGAAAGCTTTGCCGGTGTGCTTGGGAAACCGTTGGAAGGCCGAAGCCCATTTTGGGCCCCGAATTTTCATTCTCGTCTTTTTTTGGAATGAAAGAAGCAGAGCCCCGAGTTTGGAGCGGAATTTGGAGTCATCTTTGCGGCATACTCCAGAGTGCCAAGTTGCAGTTGCTCATGGCTTTGGGGTCATACCATCTCTTTTGGCCGTGTGGCCTTGCGCCGTCCCAAAACATTTTTCAGTTTTCAGGTTGGTTTTTCAGGTTGGAAACCAAAAGGAATGCGCCAAAATGAATCGGAGGAGCTGAATGATTACATGATTTGGCCACAAACATTACTTTAGAGCCGCCATTTCAGTCCGCCGACATTTCACCGTGACCCTTCCAAGTTGAGAAGTTAAAAGGAACATCACGCTTCCGTTCATTTCCCCTTGATGTCCCATTCACTTCCCCGTCATTTCCCCTTCGCTTCCTCTTCATGTACCCTCATTACCCCCTCATGTACCCTCATTACCCCCTCATGTACCCCTCATTCCCCCCTCATTTTCCCTGTGTACTTCCCTTGCTCATTTTATTCGCCCCTGTTTTTCCACTTCCTTTCCCCCGCCGAAGATCCATCTTCGGCGAATTCTTTTTTCCTGCGCTTTCGGTACACCAAGCCTCCAGGAATGGAGCGCGGCCTGCAGGAGCAGGCGGAGGCTTCTTCGATGCGACGAAGTGGTTTTGGGGGAACGCCGGGAACGCGTCTCCTGGGTGTGTGCTTTTTGGAGTTTGGTGCCTAGTTTTGAGGTGGGAGAAAAAGGGAAACCAAAAATAGACGGCTTGGCTTCCAGTTGGATCTCGGAAAACCACCCGAAGCCTTTTTGATGTTGGAGACTTTCCCTTGCCTCGTTCGCAGCCTGAGAAGGAAGGGCGACCGATCCCCGAAAAACATGGTTTGGTTTTCCTTTCCAGCCAAACAGTCCAAAATGGGCTAGCAAGTCCCAAACAAACAAGGCTCAGGAGATTTGAAAAAAAAATGCCGTGGCTTTGGGTTGCACATTCAGGCGTTGCCAGCCTGAGCTGATTTTCCTGGCCCCAAAGTGCGTGGTCTTTTTTGGAGTTGGTACCCTTTTCGGAGGGAGTTGGAGTTGGAGGCCACTGGGAAACCGAAGCGATTCAGTCCCAAAGAGACGCAAAGAGACAGACCCCGGGCCCCAAAGGCCTTTTTCCTCCTGCTTTTTTTTCTGCGCTTGGGGCCCACTCTGGCCAAGTTTAGATAGTTCAGCCGGCGGTTTTTGGACGTGTCCGGTCACCGCTTGCAGGATGCTTAGTAAGTGTTAGGTCACCATGGCTATAACTTGTAGCCTTGGTGGCTCCCAGCCATCCGGTTCAACTGAGCTTTGGACATTTTTAGTTGGTTTGGTTGGTGGTTTGAAAGGAAGGGAAGCGGACACCAAACAGAAAACCAAATCCATTTTGTAAACCAAACAGAAACCATCCGAACTAGTGTCCAAGGAAAGACCCACCCGCCCACCCTGACGCTACCCAGGCGGACGAGCTTGTGGACGCCCTCTCGAAGCTGCGGCCGTTGCTGAGCGAGGATCGCTCGGCCAAGTTTTTTTCCGACCGGAAGTTGTAGGCGAGTCCTCCCCGACCTTTTGCCTTTTGTTTTGTTTTTCGTTTTGTTTTTCTTTCTTTTTTTTTGGGGGGGGGGGGCTTCTTTTTTTTGCGGGGGGAGGGGGGGCGGTGGCCTTTTTTTGTATTTTGTTGCTTTGGGGGGGGGGGGTTGGCTGGTCTAAACGTAGGGGAACCCCCCCAAAATGGTAGGTGTCCTTTATTGGTTTCCCTTTCCTTCGACACCATCCATCCGGCTAGGAAAGGCCTTTTTGGGGGCCTTTTTAAAACTTCTTTTGGTTTTTAAAACTTTCTTTTGGGGGCCTTTTTAAAACTTCTTTTGGGGACCAACAGTTTCAGCCCGATGATTTGAGACAAACCCAGAAGGCAAAGAAGGCTCAGTTGCCCAAAGCGAATCGACCTTTTAACCTTTTGGTTTTTCAATTTCGGTCTTTCTTTAGTAAAGGCCCCAAAAGGTTAACCTTTTATTTCTGGGTCCTTTGGGCGATTGAGAAGGCCTTGCGAGAGATTGCTACTGACAATTGTACCTGGAGTCTTCTTCCGACCTTCAAAACATGGGGTAATCTACCAATCCATACCCCTTGAGAATCCAACCATAGGTGCGGCTGCTTTTTGAGTTCTGTACATGCTTTTGGGCACACCATATTTTCAATGTCGATCAGTTTTAACACCATACTCACTCCAAATGCCAACGCTTTGTTTAAGGGTATCATGTCAACCCTCCACTAAAGAAGGGATCGGTACATACCATAGACATCCGATCTGTTTTTCCTTTAACAACATGCCAGCAAAGATAACAATCCGGGTATTTGGAGGTTGCGGGGGTATGGGGTTGTATTCGTTTTGAACCCCGACCTCAGCGGCGGAACCCCGTTGGGAAACCCTTTTGAACCAACCCGCAGGGTACCCTTAACCGTTAAAACCTGGACGCGGCTTGAGTTTTTGGAAACTATGACACCTGACTCTACCGGGGTCCCTAGATTTCCCTTTCTGGCTGTTTTAAACATCACCTTTTTGGCCCATGAAAATAAGTATCCCTTGGTGGGGGTGATGTTTTAAGGGGAAATATAGGGAGCCCTGCTCTACCAAAAGACCACCTCCATGGTAGATTCCTGTTCAACCAACTTTCAGGGGAGCCAACAAAACACCCCTCAGACGCCTAACCTAAAGACCATGATCCCGACTCAACCAAAAGACACCCGCCTTGTTTTCAGGGTACCAGAAGAGAACATCAAAAAACAAGTCGGCGACCTGTCGCTTCAGACGAGAACACCCGAACCGCCCAGCCCCCCCCCCCGACCCCCGACCCCCGACTCCGAGGGATCGATCCGACGGATCGCTTCCCAGACGGACGTCTTGCGCACTGAGCGGCAGCGCTTGGTCTCGGAGCGCCGCAGTCTGGCAGAGGTGGCCCAGGCGGCTCCGAGAGGGTGGGAGGGAGGGAGGTGCACCCAATACCGTTGGGAGGGAGGTGGTCATCTTTTAGTTGGTATGAATTGTCGACCCTCTACCAAGAAAGGAGGTATTTTTTTGTGCAGAACCAGGTGTTTCTATGAAAAAACAAGCTGAAAGAAGCGGGTATTTGGAGTAAGGGGTTGCTTTCTCTTGCTGGTGCGAGTTCTGGGACTGTGGGATCCTGGAGTCTCCATGAGCCTGTAAGAATTGGCGCATGACCCCATTTTTTGCGGGAATGACACCATTTTTAGAGGATCATGGAGACTCCAGGCATGAACCCAGGGGTCTTTTTAGGGGAAATCGTCACTCCTGTGCTGTTGCCATAAGTCGGGACTGTGGGAAGGGACCGAAGCCAGGCTTCGGTCCACAGTTGAAACCACTATAGTGTTGGATGCGGAAAAAAATAAAGGGTCATTCCATTCTCATTGCCTGCCGGTTCCGAACTGGCAGGGTTTTGCTGGATCATGGTTCTTGGAGTTCTGCGTGGTTCTCTGGTGAGTCTTTAGGGAAACCGCCAAAAAAGAATGGGCGTCGGCTCATTGGTCTTTAGCTGAGCTGAACAGTGTCTTTGAAGATTTGAACAGTGTCTTTGAAGATTTTCCCTTTGTGGGTTTGTAAGGGAGTCGATTTCACATATTGGATCAGGTTTTCTTGATGGTTCCCAGCCATCCGGTTCAACTTGGCCTTCTAGTTGTTTGTGGGTGGCTTGGTGGGAATTTCATCCTCCTTTAGCAGGGCATCTGAAAGCGGGTGTTTAGTTGTTTTGTTCAATGTTTTGGTTCTGTTCATTTTTATGCTTGGCTGCAAAACGCAAGGAGGTGTTTTGATGAAGCCCACACCAAGGGTTGGACCGTTCTGGAACTGACCTAGCTGACTCATGCTGACTGGTTTCTGGTTTGGGGGTAGTCTCCGTGCCACGTTCCAAGAGCAAGATCTATCGCGTTTGGAAGAGGAACTTCACAACCCTTGGTATGGTAACAAAAGCACGTTGTTTTCATGCAGCCAAACCAAACCAAAATATAAAGACAGCCAAAAGAACCAACTTGATCTTGTTGCAGCCCCTCAAACCCAAAAATGAAGAGAAGAACAAACCAACTTAACAGCCCCCAGGCCTAAAAATGAAGAGAGCCAAAAGGACAAAGACTTGATCCAAGAACCGCGAAGGGAACTCAGTGGCTAACTCTGGAGAAGACTCAACGCCTCAAGTGAAGAGAAGAACAAACCAACTTAACAGCCCCCAGGCCTAAAAATGAAGAGAGCCAAAAGGACAAAGACTTGATCCAAGAACCGCGAAGGGAACTCAGTGGCTAACTCTGGAGAAGACTCAACGCCTCAAGTCAGGGCTGTGGGAAATGGAATCCACTTCTGTGATACCTTACAAAAAGGGCCTAAGACCAACTCCCCATTTGAAGAGGGGAGTCCATCTTGTATCACAGAAGTGGTTGGAAAAATCCCCTCTTCAAATTGAAGTGGTTGGACAAAATCCCCACAAGTATCCCCCATTTGAAGTGGGTGGGGAGGAACCCCGAGTGATCCCACAACCCCGCCTCAAGTTGATCCGGAAATTTGGATTCATTGCTTTAAGGAGGGGGTCCCTGGGGTTCCAATTCGGACGGATGGCTCAATCTGAGGTCAAAAGAATCTACTTCCGAAAATCGGGTGGTTTTGGATTGGAGGCTTGGTGGTGAATCTAGAAAACGGTTTGGATGTGGCGTGTTTTTTTTTGGTGGAACCTAGCAACACAAAAAGTAATGGAAAAAGGCCATGCATGGGTTTCCCTGATAAATGGGTAATAAACCAAATCTAAACCAGTGGAACCCATCTAGTTCTAGCCCAACACCAATCAAAATTGGGCTCTCCTTTTTGATATCCGCTAAATGTGACTAACTTGTGGGTTAAGTTCGTTGAAACTACCACTGAACCAACTGAAAGCAACTAAAAAGCTTTTAGAAAACCGGATGGCTGCGAGCCACCAGCCGACACCCTTTTTGCGGCGGGTTTCCCTTGGAAGACCCAAGATAACCACGAAAATGTTGCGGAGTCCCCGCCGTTTTTTTTCCTTCTTTTTTTTCTTCTTCCCCCGAGACATCCATACAATTCATGGGAACCCCACCATGGTGGGTTTGCGGTTGACACGCACCTGGTTCAGTGGTGTGCTGACTGCCAAATCAAAAGGGACACCCGCACAGCAACTCGTGCTTCCTGAGTCTGACCAATTGATGCCAGGTCCCCCGAGATCAATGGTTTTTTTTCCTTTTTTTTTTTTTCTGGGTATATATATATATAAGTAAATCTACATACAACAGGAGGTATTTACCATGGACAACCAGTTTGTTCTGCGTCTTCTCTTATCCCCCCCGCCTCCAAAAAATGTCAATCTACGAGAGAAGGAGGTTTGCCTTGGAAAGCCAGTTGTTTTGTCTATCAACTGAAAAACGGCTGGGCATTTGGAGTAAGAGGTAGGATAAACCCAACTCTTCCACTCCTTCCTCACATATGGGTGTGTGTGTGTGTTTTTGTAGTACCTTGTATGTTTCCTTCTGGTTTCACTTCAATCCAACTTTTAAAGTTTACCCTCCAACAAGCACCCCCCCCCCAACAAAAAAAAAACAAAGCAAAAACACAAGGTTGTGGGGGTGGTTGTCTATTTATATACCCTGAACCCCAGAACCAGGGGTTCAATTCCTCTAAAGGTGACCTCGTAGTCGACGTCTGTGACTTCAAAGCCCGTCCTTAACTCTAGAAAACGGTTTGGATGCGCTGCTTGTGGATTTCACCAGTTCTTCCCTTTGGAGGTTCTTTCAGTACATGTTTGGGCTATCACAGCCTTCTTTTGTTCTTGATATTTTGCTACAAGGCCACCTTTCCACAAGGCCACCTGGGTGTGGGTGAAAAATAGGTACCCAGAATGGAACGAAAACAAAAATGGAAACAAAGACTGAAAACTGCGGTCCGATTCCTGATGGTTTAATTTTGACCCATACCTACCCTCACGTTCTCTGCCTTTCAAGCTCACGTGTGTGCGTCTCTTTGGCTCTGGGCTTTTTCTCTTCCGCCTGCGCGCGGCGAAGCCGTGCTTGCGTTGCCAGGGCGCTGGTGTCTTCGCTGCCGGGGGGGCCCGGCGGAAAAAGAGAAAAAGAAAAGAACAAGCGAAGGGGGGGGGGGGTTAGAACTGCCAAATACCCGGCCTGTTTTTGGTTGGTATGATGTCGACCCTCTACTAAAACCAAAGAATACCCTAGAAAAAGTGGTATTTGGAGTAGGGTGTTTCCAGGGGCCTGGCAACAGCAAACAGTTCTCAAGGACCTGGCAACCCCCACGCCCAAAACAACAAAAGGAACCCCTAAAGGGGGTAGGTGCAATGGGATTGGGTAGTTGAGAGCCCTACCCCCGACTCCAAATACCCGATGCCGGTTTTTAGTTGGTATCATCGACTTGCGTTCGGATGACTTTGTCTCAGGGGAAGCCCTTACACCCAATACCCACTGTTTTGTTGTTGGTATCGTGTCGACCCTCTACTGAAAAAGGAGGCATTTACCTGAACAACCGATCGGTTTTCCGAAAGTTTGCCCTAGAAAAAAGTGGGTATTTGGAGTAGGGGGTTTGGGGTGTTCCAGGGGCCACGAATATTCGAGTGGGTTGTCGATTGGATGCTCGAATTTTCAACGCGACTGATCAATTCAGCCAAATACCAGCTAATTTAAAGAATAATGCTTGCAAAGCACGCGGCTCGGTTCGGCTTAGATCCGAAAGAAAACAAATCTCGAGCGCAGGCGGTCGGCTGACCCGGAAACCCAAAGCCCAAAGAAGGGTGCGAGAGGAACCCTTACAAGAGCCCTCCCCCCCGAAAGAAGAAAATCAGCAAAAAACATGGAGTACTCCAGATCCAACGGAGATTCCGAGCCAAACAGTGGAGGAGACGGGGAAACAAACCTAGGGACCGCCCCGAACAAAAAAAGAAGTCTGAGAAAACTTCTCCTTCTAGGGGTAGGCCTGGATGTTGCTACAAATCCATGGAAGGTTGGACTCTCCAAAATGGTGCTGTCCTTTTGGTTCCCTCCACAACCCACCAAAAGCGGGTACCAACTCCAAAAACGACAGACCCAACTGGAGGTCCGCGCAGCCAGTGGCTGGGTGGAACAAAAACCCAGTGCTTGGGTCCGAACCCCCTCAGCGCCCCATCTTCCCGTTGTGCCACCTCAACAGCAAACAGTTCTCAAGGACAACCCCCCTCCCAAAACAACCAAAGGATTCCCTAAAAGGGGGTGGGTGCAATGGGGTTGGGTAGTTAAGAGTCCCAGGGGGTTCCTTAAGGCTTCTTAGGGTTCTCCAGGGTTTGCTGGAAGAATCCATGAACAAACGACCTCCTGAGGGGCGGTCTGCACTTTGACTGTAGCTGATAGATTGTGAACATTTAACAAAGATATATGCGTTTGTTCACAAAGCTACCCTACTTTCCTACATGACCTGCCTTTGCCATCTCAGCTGGCACGGCTTGAAGCGCACTTAGCACCTTAGATCCCCTTTTAGTGGAGGTCCAGAAAGGTTTCTCTCCCCCCTTTTTCTTGCCGTCCAAATGGTGGCTTCGACCTGGAATTCCATGTAGATTGTGTATGTACTTAACAAGTATCAACCATCTTGAAATTTATAACTAACATATGAGTCAAACATTAAAAATACTCAGAAAGCAATGAATACCAGAAACCATCAGTTATTCTAGTGCTACTTTCCCCATTCTTTCCAGGGATCCTTCTTTCTAGGAAACCCCCGGAAACCTCGGGAAACGGCCGGTTTTTGAAAAGAACGATGGTTGAAAGGTTTGGAAAAGGACTCAACCGTTAGAATTATTGGTTTCCCAATATACAATACAATAAATACCAGAAATACTCAATATACAATCAATACCAGAAAGCATTAAATACCAGAAACCATTCTGTTATCTCCATTTGCCTCGACTGCTATTGGGTTGGATCTTCAGACTTTAACTTTTTGGTTGAAATCAAGTTGGGTTTTCCACTAAACTCCAAAAACGTGATTCACTTTTTGCAGGGGGCTCAACAGCAACCAAGAAGTGAACTCAGTTGGATTCGCCAGCCTCGGTTGCTTTCCATTCCAACCTTGAACGTGTTAACGACTTGAACACTGACTTCTTCGCTATGCCAAATTTGAAGCGACTTTGGGCGTATCCCCCAAAGTCCCAGCCCCACTCCTTGGCCATTGAGCCTGAGGAGGAGGTCTTGGAGGATGAGGACCTGGAGCTGCAGCTGCTGAACGCCGTGAAGGAGCGATCGATCGAACGCGAGCGCTGCCGGAGTCGAAGAACGATCATGGGGGCTGGGGGGGAGGGAGGGAAGGGGGAGGGAGCTCAAATAACCCCTTCTTAAGCCCCTAATAAGGCACAAGTTGAGGGCAATGTTCTGGTGTTTTTTGTGGAAGGATTCCTGCTTAAAATGGCCTTTTGCTTCCTGGACCCCCAAAAGACCGGTTCCTTTTTGTTGCCTGTGACCCAGAAAAAAGTGGAAAGTCAGAAAACAAAAAGGAATTTGGGTCTTTTGGTGGTCGAAGCCAGGGCTCATCCCTACAACGAACATCCACGTCCAAGGAAGCCGGGCGTTGAGCCGAGCCGGGTGTCAGAAAATACGGCGGGATCGGACAAAATCGAAGGGAGAAATCCCAGTTGCCTTTTTACGGGGTGTTTACGGCCGTTGACGAAAGGCCTAAGTTACTCAGGCCGAGGAAGCTCTGGGTGAGCTGGATCAGAAGTTTGCCGCGGTTGCTCCTTTTGAAGGCTGCCCGGGTTGGCCAGGGTGCGTCTTGTTTTAGGATTGGGACGTCCCAAAACGGCGCAACGGTGTTCCTTTGGGTTTCTCCGTAAAACCACGAAACAGGGGTACCAACTCCAAGAAAGAGTCTTGATTCAGAACTGCATCGCACGGAATGGGCAATGAACGGCACTGGTCACCAAACTGCAAGTGGGATTCCTCCTGTTGTGAGTGGGCTTTACATATCCCAGTGGGCTTGCCAGTCTTCAGTCACCAAGAGCAAACTAGCGGAGCTTCACTATTCTGGGCATGTTGTTCTTTTAAGAAAGAAAACATAGAGAAGCAACAAACATATAAAATATTGTTTTTTTTTTTTATTGGGTTCTGTTCATTTTAGGTTTGGCAAGCTCATACCAAGGGCTGAGAATAAATATATATATATATATACACATATAGGCGAAGCGCCTGGTCTTTTTTTGGCGGGTGGTTTGTTCTGGTTCCCTTGAGGGTTTGCCTTTGCCCATCAAACCCAACATCAAATTGGGGTACACAATATTGACTGTGGCTCACGTGCAGGACGCGGGTGGTCCTCTCCCCTCCCCTCCGTCCCTCCTCCCCTCCTCCCGGGGGGGGGGGTGGTGGGGGGGCCCCCCCCCCCCCCCCCCCCCCCCCCACACCCACCACCCCCCAAAAAATGTGTGTGTGGAAATGGAAACCAAACAAAATGGGGGGGGGGGGGGGGAGGTAACCACCAAAAAACAACAAAAAAAACAAACCAGAAAGGTTGTTAATCAGTTAATTGTTGTCTGAGGGGGGAATGGAAATCCCACTTAACGCTAGAATTTCAATTTTGCCCCCCTTCCAACGCTACGCATAGCCTCCGACCCTCCTCCCGCGCTCCCACATCACATCCCCTCCCTCCCTCCCTCCCGCCCCCCTCCCTCCCTCTCCATCCCTCGCTTCTCTCTCTCACTCCCTCCTTCTCCCTCTCCTCCCTCTCTCGCCGCTCTCCCCTCTCCCTCTCTCCCTCCCTCCCTCCCTCCCAGCCACTCCCCTCCCCTCCCCTCACCCTCACCTCCCCTCCCTCCCCTCCCCTCCCCTCCCCTCCCCTCCCCTCCCCAATAATATCATGTAATTCATAATGAGTAGGAAATTAGATAAGGATGATTTTTTTTAAAACAAAATATATTATGATGTTGATGAGGGGTTCGGTTCTGTTAGAGATTTATATGAAAAAGCGAATAAAGTTGAAGCAGGTTTTACATTAGATTATGTTTCTACATGGTTGAAATCTCAACCAAACAAGCAAACAAGAAATTATAAGAACTACAATTCATACACGGCACCTTTTCCAAAGTATGAGTTCCAAATTGATTTAATGGTCATGTCAAGTTTGTTAAATGACGTTGGTGTTGATGTTAAGAATCAACCTAAATTTGGTTTTGTTTGTATCGATATGTTCAGTAAAACGTGTCATCTAGTTCCAATGGAAAATAATGATATTGATACTTTTTTCAATGCTATGTTAGAATGTTTTAAAGTTCTAGGCTATCCACTTAGTATATATAGTGATGATGAAGGAGCATTAAATAGTAAGAAGATACATAATTATTTGAAAGGTGAAGGAATTGAATTAATTATTACTGAAACTCATGCAAATGTGGCAGAGAGGGCTATTCGCACTTTTAAGAAAATGATAAGTAATAGACTTCGTCATCATAAAGGATCATGGATTGAAATGATGAAAGTATCCCTGAAGAAATACAATAGTAGTCAAATACATAGTAGCACACAAACAACACCAAACAAAGCACACGATTTAGACAATGTTTTAGATGTTAGGGCAAACCAAATACTGAAAGAAAAGCATAATAGAAAGTATCCCAATGTGACTGAGGGAGATTATGTCAAAGTATATAGTAAAGGTAAAGGCAACTATACCAGTCGTAAAGAAAGTTTCAACCATTGGAGTGAAAGAAAATACAAGGTAATACTTGTAGGTATGGATTTACTTAATAATCGCTATTACAAATTGGATGGATTAAGTAAAAAATACAATAGGCACGATATTTTATTGGTTAATCAAATAATGTCCATACGGCAAACTTTCAATAGCGTTATAGAAATATATTTTATTACAAAAATTGGACAAAGCAAATTTACTTTGGTTAATGCTATAAACTTGGTGATTTTTGCTTCTAATTGTGTTGAAATTGACTGTTTCTTTCAAATCACCATTTAATGTTTCTTCGTATTTATTATAATTTAATTCATTAGCAATTTTATGTTTAGCAATGCCTTTACTCCTCTTATGTTCTTCATCTTCCCCATAAACCTTATAGCAGTATGATTTAGGTGTCAATCCTATGAAGTGTGTCATTATTTTCCCTGATAACTCATCCTTCATTTTCCCAAGAACTTTTTTATTAGAAGCATTATAACATTCATGATTTTTAGGATAATCTGAAAAATCCATATGTTGATTTATATGCTTAAAATCTGTGTAAATATCATCAGTTTCAACATGGATAATAAAACTATCAGTGTCAGTATATGCTAATTTTATTTTATCATTATATTTAGGTTTTAATACATCATAATAAAACTAATACATATGAATTTTAGAATAATCTAAAATTGATAGACCCATATAAATAGGTTTATCTAATTCTAACGTTGCCTTTTCTTTTTCTACTCCTACTAAACTTTCGTTTATAATGTGTTTGTGTTTGTATGTTGGCTTATTTACTAACTTCTGGAAGCGTTCAGGCGTATTAACTAATTCAAAGTCAATGTGATTACGAACGTTTTCGAGTGTTTTTCCATATACAGCGTTATTTAATAATTTGAATAAATACTTTTCAAATTCAGTTTTAGCATTCTTTCGTTTTTCGGTGTTGAAATCAATGTATGGTTTTAAGACATCTGCTTGATTAAAACTAATTACCCTATGGACTTTCTTTAATTTTAATCCATGCTCTAAATAAAACTTCAATGCTGATATATGTAATACATACTTTTTCTTATCCATAACATTTAATATCAGTCTATTTGTTTTTTCATCAGATGCATCTTTTCCTCTTTTTTGTTTTGTTTTAATGTATTTCTGTTTGAACTGGTGAACGCATATTCTCACTAACACTCATAATTTCTGGTGCTAATGGATAATCTCTATGTAAATCATGTAATTCTTTTGGGTATTCTAAATCAACTTCTAAAATATAGCCTTTGTTATCATCATCGCTATAACTTAATACTTTCTTCTCATCCATCCTTGAAAAATACCAATTGAAATTATCAAACGGTAGTTTTTTACTCATTTTCAAACCATACAAGTTATTAGCATCTAAATAACTTATATAACTTGATGGTTTTGACAAGTCATATTGTTTATTCATGTATTTATTATTTGCTTCTACTTTTTTATGAGCACATTGAGTCATCCCGCTCCGAAGACCTTTTTCAATCATTTCATACATATCTTTATTATGTATTTGTTGAAGTCTAACACCAGTCAGAGATAAGAAGGCAGACCATGAATAATTAGGCAATGTTATGTAATGTGCAGGGTCTAAACCATAATAATTTAAACACATATCCCTAAAGTTTTCAAACACATCACTAAGCAAATAAACATCGGTCATCAAATATAAATCATGGTATTCACCTAGGTTTTTGATATTGAAATTATCCCATATTACTTTTGCCCTTGTGTGTTGTGTATCTGTTATACCTTCTTCATATAATTGACTGTAAAAGTCGTCTATATTCGGTAATTGTGTTTCATTGAATTTATCAAATGAATTCATGTAGTCGTAAGGATAAACTCCTTTTTCAGTTAATAAGTGTAAATCGGTTTTATTTCTAATATATGGATTTGCTGATGAAAATCTAAAATTATTCTCCCAGTCATTCCGTTTTTTTATATATAGGTTTATCATGCTCATCTTTACCTACTATGTCATATTTATTTAATTTAACTAATTTATCTAAAGATGCTGAGAGAAAAGCCATGCTATCTTTAACCTGTAATGAACCAAAAGAAAATGTAATACACTTTTTGCTATTTTGTGCTATTACATCTATTCTTTTATTTTCTTTCAATTCCTTATTTATTTCATTTGCTTTACCTATGATTAAGTGAGAGTCATAGTTTTTTTTTTTTTTTTTTTTTAATTATGAAAAAAATACTGGTATCTTGACATATCTAAATGAATAATCCAAATTATATTTTTCGTGAGCACAACCTCTATACACACCAGTAAAATGACAGTGGTCTCTGACTTTTTTTTTATCTTCTGGTTTAAAATTCTTATTACATATTGAACATACAGTAGCTTTTCTAAATTCTGCTTCTTGTTCATCTGTAATATCCATTGGTTTATTAACATTCATTTTATCCAAAATATATTTTTTTAATTTCTGTTAATTTATTTACAAAGTGGTCTAAACAATCCTCTCCACGGTATAAAAAAGGTTGGCTTGTATTATCAATAGAATTTTGCAACATTCAACATATAA